CAACGCTGCGCATTGGTCCTCCTCCTTAGACGATCGTGACATGGTCATTCAACTGAGACTGCTCTTCTCTGTGTCACGGAGGCTCTCCGCACTGCTAAAGCTAACGTTCTCTCCTCTGCTCTTGTCCTTCTAGACCTGTCTGCTGCCTTTGATACTGTGAACCATCAGATCCTCCTCTCCACCCTCTCCGAGCTGGGCATCTCCGGCGCGGCTCACTCTTGGATTGTGTCCTACCTGACCGGTCGCTCCTACCAAGTGGCGTGGTGAGAATCTGTCTCCGCACCACGTGCTCTCACCACTGGTGTCCCCCAGGGCTCAGTTCTAGGCCCTCTCCTATTCTCGCTATACACCAAGTCACTTGGCTCTGTCATATCCTCACATGGTCTCTCCTATCATTGCTACGCAGACGACACACAACTAATCTTCTCCTTTCCCCCTTCTGATAACCAGGTGGCAAATCGCATCTCTGCATGTCTGGCAGACATATCAGTGTGGATGATGGATCACCACCTCAAGCTGAACCTCGGCAAGACGGAGCTGCTCTTCCTCCCAGGGAAGGACTGCCCGTTCCATGATCTCGCCATCACGGTTGACAACTCCGTTGTGTCCTCCTCCCAGAGTGCGAAGAGCCTTGGCGTGACCCTGGACAACACCCTGTCGTTCTCCGCTAACATCAAGGCGGTGACCCGATCCTGTAGGTTCATGCTCTACAACATTCGGAGAGTACGACCCTGCCTTACACAGGAAGCGGCACAGGTCCTAATCCAGGCACTTGTCATCTCCCGTCTGGATTACTGCAACTCGCTGTTGGCTGGGCTCCCTGCCTGTGCCATTACACCCCTACAACTCATCCAGAATGCCGCAGCCCATCTGGTGTTTGAGTTTGAGTTTGAGTTTATTTATTTTTACAGAGACAGTGCACATTAATCAACGTTTCAGTAAAAGTGCCGGTTTTAGCCAGCCGGCTAATTTTCAACCGCAGTCCCTGGGCAGGTTATTAAAAACAATTACAATATAGACAATAACAACATAGAACAAGACATAGCATACAGACATAGCAACATAGGACAAACAAGACGTAGCATACAGACCGAGCAACATAGAACAAAAAGCAGCAAAACAAAATTCATAAAAGCAACAAAGTGTTTCCACACCTCACAAGTTACAGACAACAGACATGGAAAGCGGCAACACACAGCTAGGGACCATGTTCACAAATCTGATTGACCTTTAGCCATGTCTTCAAGCATTTTGTGAAAGTGTGATATGTGGTGCAGTTGTGTGTGTCTGATGGCAATGTATTCCAGACATGGGAAGCTCTCACAGAAAAAGCAGATTTACTAAAGGTGCTTTTCCTTAGGGGAACTACACAGTCACCTCTCATGGCAGACCTTGTGGATCTGCTGCCATATGTTTGGGTTTTCTGTTTAACAAAAATACTGAGTGGAGGGGGAGCCAAGCCATTTAGGATCTTGAATACAAGACATGCATCGGTGTATTGCACAAGATTTTCCCAACTCAGGAGCTCATGCTTTCTAAGGATGTGACAGTGATGATGGCTATTGGGCTTCCTATCAAGCACTTTGAGAGCCTGTTTGTAGACAGACTGAATAGGTCTTACTGTTGTACAGCAAGCTTGGGCCCAACTAGTCAAGCAGTATGTTAAGTGGGGGAGTATCATAGATTTGAAGTACAGTTTTGCTACCTCTGTAGTCAAACAATTTCGTATAAATCGGAAATTAGCTAGGTTGAATTTGGTTATTTGAATTACCTTTTTCACATGCTTTTTAAAAGAGAGGTTGGAATCAAGTATGATGCCAAGGTACTTAAAATCAGATACCCCCTGGAGCTTCTCCCCTGACACATAGACTTCTGGCTCAGTAGCATCTGTTGCCCTCTTTGTGAAGAACATGCAAACAGTTTTTTTCACATTGAGATGCAAACACGAGTCACTGAGCCATTTTGTAACCTGGACCATTACAGTAGTGAGTTCTTGTGCAGCTTGTTGTTTGCTCTTTGCATGCACATATATCACTGTATCATCTGCATACATTTGAACTTCAGACCCAGTACAGACAGAAGGCAGATCATTAATGTACAGGCTGAACAGGAGGGGCCCCAGTATTGACCCTTGGGGCACACCCACATCATAGCTAAGAGTGGGCGACAGCTCATTGCTCACTCTGACACACTGAGTTCTGCCTTCAAGGTATGATTTCATCCATCTCAAGGCATCGGGGGAAAAGTTGAACTTGGACAATTTTGTGATGAGAATCTCATGGTTAACAGTATCAAAAGCCTTCCTTAGGTCCAGAAACACAGCCCCAACAACGCCCCCTTTGTCCATCTTGGACTTCACATTTTCCAGAAAAAAGCAGTTGGCCATTTCTGTGGAGTGTTTCGCTCTGAAGCCAAACTGCATGGAATGTAATGTGAAGGGGCTGTTGTTGAGGTGGGCAATCAGTTGTTCTGCTACACACTTTTCAACAACCTTTGACACCACAGGTAGTATACTAATGGGCCTGTAGTTACTCACGTCAGCAGGGTCGCCAGATTTAAAGATGGCCGTTATTATGGCCGACTTCCATACCCTTGGAAACACCCCGAGACCAATAGATGTGTTGGTGACCTTAGTAATGGGGCCAATGAGTGACTCTTTGTAGTTTTTAAGAAAGGTAGAGTCCATCCCAAACACATCTTTGGCTTTAGAGTTCTTTAGTGAGCTAATCACCTTGTCTACCTTTGACTCAGAAACCTCCCTTATGATGAAGACAGGTTGAGCATCATTTACTAGCACTGAGCCCAAGAAACCAGTGGAGGGGTTCTGTGTCAGTACCCTGACAGAGTCAATAAAGTAGGAATTGAAGGCTATTGCTATTTCGACTGCATCCTGTGTTAGATTGTTATTCACCATGATTTCTAGTCTTTTTGCAGTGTTACTATGGTCTTTCCCTGTTAACTTTTTTAGATTCTCCCAGATCAGTTTAGAATTTCCCTTTGCTTCACCAATTATGTTAATAAAAAAGTTTGCCTTGGCCTGTCTGATTTCTTTCATCACCTTATTTCTCAACATGGTAAACCTACGTCTGTCATGCTCTAATTTGGATCTTAGGGCTATTTTTAGATAATAATCTCGTTCTTTCATCAATTTCCAGATTTCTCCATTTAGCCAAGGAAGAGTGCTCTTTTGGCCAGGTTTGGATTTGATTTTCTTTAGGAAACCGTTTAATGTAGTCTGGATTGTGGATAGAAAAACTTGACTATCAGCTTCCACGTCTGCATAGGACAAGAGATCATTCCAGTTAATTCCCTTAATTGCATTTTCAAAATAGCTTAATTCACTCTTAGGTATTCTTAGTTGATCAGGCTTTCTAACAGTAGAGAGGTTAAACCTGCTCTTAGACAGCTTTCTGGCTATAAGTGTCAGATTATGATCAGATAGCCCAGTAACCATATTGAATGATTTAGTCACTCTCTCTGGTTTATTACTGAACACCAAATCAATCTGTGTTTTAGAGCAACAAGTCACCCTAGTTGGCCCTTTAACTAGCTGTGTAAGGTCAAAGGTATTAGTGATCCGTTTGAGGGTTTTCCTACAACACTTGTCTTCATAATTAATGTTAAAATCTCCCATTAAGATGACCTCTTTCCCAAAATCACATTCCCTAAGCATGTTATTAAAGGTTCAACCTTCCCAAGTTCTCTCACGTCACCCCGGTCCTCCGCACACTCCACTGGCTTCCAGTTGAAGCTCGCATCTGCTACAAGACCATGGTGCTTGCCTACGGAGCTGTGAGGGGAACGGCACCTCCGTACCTTCAGGCTCTGATCAGTCCCTACACCCAAACGAGGGCATTGCGTTCATCCACCTCTGGCCTGCTGGCCCCCCTACCTCTGCGGAAGCACAGTTCCCGCTCAGCCCAGTCAAAACTGTTCGCTACTCTGGCACCCCAATGGTGGAACAAGCTCCCTCACGATGCCAGGACAGCGGAGTCACTGACCACCTTCCGGAGACACTTGAAACCCCACCTCTTTAAGGAATACCTGGGATAGGATAAAGTAATCCTTCTACCCCCCCTTACCCCACCCCCAAAAAATAAATAAAGAATAAAATAAAATAAATAAATAAATACATATTGTAAAGTGGTTATCCCACTGGCTATAAGGTGAATGCACCAATTTGTGAGTCGCTCTGGATAAGAGCGTCTGCTAAATGGCGTAAATGGAAATGGAAATGGAAATCATAATTAGTGATAGAACACACCTGACTGTCATTATTGTCTCTAGGACGGTCTCTGCCGCCCTCTGGTGACAGGTGGAACCATGACACGGACACTGTCCTTTCAGCATCACGAGCCTGTTACACTCACATCCTTTGACGTTATCACTGTTGTCGCTTTTGGTGATAGCGTGATAGTGATGGCATTAGGCTGTGCAAGCAGTGTAGCTGTTGCTGCTGGTAACATTATCTGTATGGGTGCTGTCTCTGTGAGTGGCAGCCAAAAGCGTGGCTCAGCCTCAGGCATGTTTGATTCAGTGATGCTATGTTTCTGTTATTATTCTTGATTTTAGAGTTTGGTACAACGTGTTGGAAGATAATAGAGATTTAATAGAGGTTCCAATATGGTTCACACTGACTCAACCAACCATGTGATCACAACCATGCAGAAAGAGTATCACAGAACTGAGCAGCTGAATGTAGGGAGAATTCTCATAATGATAGCAATAACAATAACAAGATATTACATAATAGTAATATGATAATGTGCTGTCGGACTGTCTATCAGTTGGATTTGGAGCTGAGAGAGAGATGCTCTCGGGAGTATTTACTCAAACACACTGAGTGCTCTGTTTCTATTGATCAAATCAACATTGAACGGCAGGCAGGCTATATCTGGAGCCATTCTGAACGAGGCAGCCATGACAGCACATTACCCACCCATTACCATCCCAATGTGTGTCATGTCTGAGAAGAGGTGTATTAATAAAGTTGTGCCTACCTGAATGGCAACAGAGATGAAGAGAAAGGCAGCAGTCAGAGTGAGGTAGGGACTGTGTCGCATCACCAGGATGAAGCCCTTGTGGAACGGGATCTGCTTCTCCGTCTTCGAAATGTATGGATCTGTGCGAGGAAGAAAAGGAATAACATTTGAAAGTGTCAAATGAGACAGTTTCTTTGGTTTCTGTCTTTTATCCCAACCCTAAATCTAGCCCATGAAGCACCACACATTCTGTGATGAGAGAATATACAGTAGCATGAGTGAGACACGTATGGGGGATTTCGCCTCCAATCTGGCAACCCTGTAGCTGCCCCTGCATTGCAGCATTGCTATGCTCTGTCTGTTCCACAGGGCTTGCCACTACAGAGAACCAGAACTAACAGGTTCACTGGTGGTGAGGTCAGCAGTTCACTGACAGCCTCCATGTGCATGAAAAACAAGATGTATTATTTTTTTAACCTTTATTTTAGCAGGGAGTCCCATTGTGACCAAGGTCTCTTCACTTTTGCAAGTGAGCCCTGCATCTCACAATTGCACAGAGATATGGATGGTAGATTCTCTCCTTTTACACTTAATACTTAATAATTTATTCTTATTTTTTCCCCTGAGCTGGATAATCATTGGATAAGGATGGAGCTAGCTAAATAGTCAGTTCAGAATAAGGCTAAACTGCTTACTGGTACTTTGCAAATGAGGTTAGAGTGAAATATGAGAGGGGGAAGAGAGCACACACACTTGCTGGGGAAAAGTGTGCACAAACACACACACACACACACACATGCACACACGCAAAACACACATACATACACACACACAGACTCACCATCTCTCTCTTTGACTCCCAGGAACATGACCACAGTGCAGATGAGAAACACTCCTCCTATCACACCAGCAGCAATCATATACACCTCCTTCTGCAAAAGGATAAAAGAAAAAACAATCATATACTGTACACCTCATTCTACAAGGAGGATAGAGAGCATATAAACTTATTCAGCAAAGGCAGGAAAAAAACAACAGTGTAAATCTATCCTTTATTTGTTTATTACACTACTCTTCCTTGGGCCCACTATCAATCTTTAAAGCCTTTGGTTACAGAAGGAGCACATCTGTACTGAGCCTTTCTCAATTTCCATTTTGTAACTCCACCCAAATACTGCACTTCAACCGTTATCAAAAAGTCACATTAGAAGATATCGATGTGTTTGTTGACCCTGTCATTTTACGCTAGCACTCCTTAAATCGCTCTAGCAGATACCAGATCTCATAAATCACTGAACAGATTAGATAAAAGCATAGACAGAAAAAAATCCTTAAATACATCCTACCAAAATACTATAGAGTCTTGAAGATTTCATGTTGACCCCAACAGGAACTGCACTGCCCTAAACAACTCTGGGCTTGTTTGCCATTTTTTCCAGGCGGTGCAGCAAAGTGGTTTATTATTATTTATTCACATCAAACGTTCCGCCAATTTCTGAGGGACTGGAGAACTCGCCCAGATGAATGAGCCACCCTCACCCGCGAACCCAGAGGAATCTAGTGGTGACAGTGCTCCAAGTGTGTGTGTTTGTGTGTAAATGCTCAGCATGGCTACAAAGGGTCCTGCATGGTTAGAGAGCCGAACCATCTGGGTTTACCCAAAATCATTTGAAAAGGCACCACTTGAGCCCCTGAATAGCCGCGGCGTGCCCGAATCCAACACGGAACAGTTTGGGCTGGAGCCCGCTCGCCGCGTTTTACCCATGAACCCATAAACCACCTTTGCGTTCACAAGATTCACATCAGGGTCTCTGGGTTGTCTCAGTGATCTTTTCATTGGCTATATGTACAGTATACTGCTAAGGAAATGAACAACCAGTTCAATTCAAATGTAATGTTCCGGTCTGGGTTTGGCTGGAAATAGATGTTCAATATTGTTAGTCCCCTAATCCCAACAAACTACATGTCGAGTTTGGGGTCTGGGGTTCATTCAGGTGTTTTTGAATGTGATAAAAATAGCCTTAATCACACACAGACTGTGGTCACCCCCTCAGTGTGGGGAGGAGTCTCTTATTTTAGGGAAGGGGTTTGATGGCTGATGTCAGGGAGGAAACCCCTTTTTGTGGTCAGTGCCAAGGGAGGGGAGGAAAGCTGGGGCGTCCTATGGTCACTTCAAACCCAGGATGATAAATAATATATGTCTATAAAGCCCTCTTTAAGTTGGTACATGGTAAGACTAAATCTCACCGCTAGACAGTCTACAAACACAAACATCCTATTCATCATATTCCTTTAAGTTTCAACAAATCACTATTTTCATACTTGTTGACCTTCAACTGGTTTCCTGTTTGTTTCCTTTCAACTTTGAGACTTTAAAAAAGGAAATGAAAAAGTGAAGTTAAAGGAAAAGATGCCCCTGAATGTGCAGCCCTGAGGTAGTTGAGGACACTACTGTCACTTACAGTTGTTTTCAAAATCGGAATACCATGGTAACACCCCAGGTCAGGTTGTTTGTTGTCACGGTGACACTTACAGCATGTGACAGGAAGTCCTGGGAGTGAACGATTCTCTTGACGATCTCGGCCCCACTGCCGTTGCCTAGGTGACCGGTGGACATGTTGTGGTGGGGGCAGTGCTTCAGGGTGTGGGCGCTTGCCACAATCTGACCCTGGATGGCAGCGCCAACTAGAGTACCCAGCACCTCCAGGGTCATACCTGCAGTATAACATATTTTTTACAGTATTAAGTACTATCAAAACAGAATGACAGAATAGTGCTTGAATTTTATTAAACAAACTAAGGTCTGTTTAATAGTGACCTACGATAGGCTGTGGCTGAGTCTCTCTCCTTCTGGTCTGTACTGAGAAACATGGTGAGGGCAGAGTAAGGCACATGGAAACACTGGGAAACACAGAAGAAACACAGAGGACATGATTAGATATGGTTAGATATAGGACAGAGGGTCAGAGTCCATATCATTTCCACCTTTTGGGGATATTTTATGCTGCATGTTCCACTCAAGACGATGATTCACTGCAACATTAACCCTTAAGAGCACCCGTGTGTCAATCTAAGTAACATCATAATAAAATCCCCATCAAAATCTGTCAATTTAAGCTAGAAATATTTTTGTTTTTGTCATAGGCTGCTACTCAATCCACCGCATCCGTCTATGTCGGCCTTCCACATATGTGGTGGAAAGTGGGCGAGCTACAGGGTTGTTTGTCAGACCATGAGACGTCCCGAAAATCAGTCTTCTAATGAAAACATCTGTAGCATCCAAACCGTTTGGGCAACAAACTAATATGACTCCACTATGGAAAGGGGAGATTCTCACAAACAAGATGTTATTCTCCATTTTGTGTCACGGGACTTATTTGAAGGTAAGCGGTACCGGTTTAAAAAATACATGGAAAGAATGGAGGTAGTTTTGTGCCCCCCAAAAAAGGTGTTAAATATGTGTCCAAAAAACACAAATATTTCCTTAGCTTTCTTATATCTCCTCTTCAAAACCTTATCCCTTATGATACATTTTTTGACTGTCTTTTTTGCCATTTATGAATGTGTATTCAATGTGTTTCTATGGGCTATAGTAGTAAAGGCCAAATTTAGTAGATCAGTCAGCAACCCTAGCCTTCGCCTTCAACCCCAGCCTTTCTTCTCCTTTGTCATTTACACAACAGCTCAATCAGCATTGTGGCCGAACGATGCAGCGACCGAACAACTCACCGAGCGTCCAAAGAGATTACAGAAATGAACACTGCCATGAAAGACTGTCCCAGCCCTTCTCCTTCTCTTCGGCCCAGGGTGGGATGGAGGGAAGGAGGGATGGAGGGAAGGAGGGAAGGCCAAGCATGTCATTTGTGGGGCCTTGTTGTAAAAACACAATTTATAGAACCCAATTTGACCAGAGTTTTGCCTCACGTAGAAGGACTTACAGTGGTCATCAAATCATGATTGAATGATTACACTGGCCGGTGATGTACACTACCTGTTTTTTTTATTGTTACTACTGTAGGGCCTTAAAGTGATAGCAGCTGTTTGTTCTCAGTCTCTCACACACAAAGACAATGAAGGGAAGCTAAAAGTGGCAACCAGCATTTACCCACCCAGCGGTCTCTGACAGGGCCGAGTGTATACTTATCAAGTAGTTAGAATGACGTCATTATAGGCCATCGCAATGTGGCTACGATGGGCAGTGGTAAACATGCTCTGTAGCATATGTAAAATAGATTAGAGAGAGAGAGAGCAGAGGAGAGAGAGACATTGCAGAGAGAAAGAGAACGAGAGAGAGAGAGAGAACGAGAAAAAGAGAAAAGGAGAGTGAAAGAGAGGGAAAGGGTTTGAAGCTGTACCATAGTAACAAAATAAACCTAAATAAACACACTTGTTTGAGGTGAACTATCAAAAGGGTTTTGTTTTATGACATGTTGGCTCTGCTCACTATAGTATTGTGTTGGGTTCTGCAAGTCATCTCTGCTTATCTGTATCTTTTCTGGCAGATAGAAAGCTGTATCCAGGAACAATGGTAGTTGGGTAAACAAAGTCAGTGTTGAATAGTGTTAGATAAGATACTGTATCTGAGAAGGAGGATGTGTAAATGGTTGTCCTTGTGGGCCAACGTTTATGTAATACTAGCAGTAGTAGGTATCTGGCTGGTACTTACAGTGATGAGTGTCTGGTAGAGGCAGTAGAAGCCCAGGTACCAGATGAATCGTCCGTTTGTGAAGGGAGGAACGAACCACAGGTAGAAGTAGGAGACCACCACAAACGGAGTACAGCCCACCATCCTACAGAGACAAAAAAGGGAGGGCAGGGTTATTGTTTCTTATTGCATATCTTTTTTTTGTTTGTTGGTATTTTACCCCCTTTTTCGCTGAAACTCCCGTACGGACACAGGAGAGGCAACGGTCGAGAGTCATGCGTCCTCCGAAACACAACCCAACCGAGCCGCACAGCTTCTTGACACAGTGCCTGCTTAACCCGAAAGCCAGCCGCACCAATGTGACGGAGTAAACACCATACACCTGGTGACCGAGTCAGCGTGCACTGCGCCCAGCCTGCCACAGGAGTCACTAGTGCGCGATGGGACAAGAACATCCCTGCCGGCCAAACCCTCCCCTACCCTGGACGGCGCTGGGCCAATTGTGCGCCGCCCCATGGGTCTCCCGGTCACGGCCAGCTGCGACAGAGTCTGGACTCGAACCAGGATCTCTAGTGGCACAGCTAGCACTGCAATGCAGTGCCTTAGACCACTGCGCCACCCGGGAGGCCCTTATTGCATATCTTAATGGCTATTGTTTGAGCAAACATTTAGGCAAATTTTGTATAATTTTTTATTGTGAAACTCTGGCCTCATTATGGGTTTGTGCAATGGATAAAGACATGACAGTTTATCTCAGCAGGCTGGTTTAGACAACTATGTATAAAAGCCTGTAAACCTGTTAGGCCAGTGATAGATTGATGGTGTGTGGGCTGTTTTAGGTGCGATGGATGGTGTGTTTGTGAATCTGAAGGAATCCGTTCTGAGTTAGTGTGGCGGCACAGTGGGAGGACGGGAAGATGCAATATGCCACAGAATCGCTAACTCGCATGATCATGAGCATTATTCAGGCACACGCGCACACACAGGCATCTCAGGACATAATAATTATTCTGCATTGTGCAGTTTGGAGGATATGGGGAGCTGTGTTGTCTATGTATAATAGAGTGGGGAGGTTGTGGACTAGTGCACTTTCCTCCAGTCCTCAATAACTATATCATCTATAACCACTGAGTTATACACGAATAGGCTCTAATTCTTTCCCACTAAAGCAACATAGACTAGGAGCCGAGGACGGACACCCCAAAAAACTAAGCTATATCTTAGGTTCATCTGATAACATCTACTGAGTATCTGTACATCATAGAGTTCACACTTAGGAAAACATCCTTATCATAAAGACTCAAGACCAACGAATGCTCTGCAGCTGTAGTGTCAACTAAGTAAATATAGTTAACACAGCTAAGCATGCTTTTGCTAGCTCAACCACATCCTCTACGCACCACCCCCAAATAGCCACAGTCACGTTGTTTTGGTGACAATGCCAAAACATTTCCAAAATGGACCTGAACTCTAACCTTTGACCTGATAGGACCCCAAGGTGTTTGACCCCCATCCTCATACTAAACCCCACCCCCTCTGCTCTTGTTGCCCTAACTCCAGACCTGTCCTGCCCTGGAATTCAGTTTAACTAAGAACAGATAGAAAGTAAATTGTATGGATTTTTTTTCTATTAATAATGTAAAATTAGCATCTTCTTGATGCAATTAAAGCCTTAAAGTCCGGAAAAACTCCAGGGTTGGATGGCATACCAGTTGAGGTATACCAAACCTTTTTTGATGTACTCAGAGGACCGTTATTAGCATGTTTTAACCACTCCTATAAAAATGGTAGATTATCAGATACTCAACAAGAAGGTCTGATTTCATTATTACTGAAACAGGACCCAAGTGGTAAATATAAAGATCCAGTCCATTTAAAAAAATTGGAGGCCCCTTACACTTCAGTGTTATGATGCAAAAATTCTAGCAAAATGCATAGCGCATAGAATTAGAAAGGTATTGTCGGATATTATTCATCCTTTTTTTTACATGGACGATACATTGGAGAAAATATAAGACAAGTACTGGAAACAATAGAACACTATGAAAAATCTGGGAAACTAGGCCTGGTACTCATAGCTGACTTTGAAAATGCTTTTCATCAGGTACCACTGGAATTTATAAATAAATGCCTGGAATATTTCAATTTTTGAGAGTCTCTTATACAGTTGGTTAAAGTTATGTATAGTAACCCTAGGTGTAAAATAGTAAATAATGGCTACTTCTCAGAAAGTATTAAACTGTCAAGAGGAGTAAAACAAGGTTGTCCACTATCGGCATATCTATTTATTATGGCCATCGATATGTTAGCTATTAAAATGAGATCCAACAATAATATCAAGGGGCTAGAAATCCAGGGCTTAAAAACAAAGGTATCATTGTACGTTGATGATTCATGTTTTCTTTTAAATCCACTATTTGGATCCCTCCACAACCTCATAGAGGATCTAAATACTTTTTCTAACCTCTCTGGATTACAACCAAATTATGATAAGTGTACTATATTATGGTCTGACGGTGATGTGGACATACTCGGTATTCATACCCCAAAATAAATAAATGATCTCACTACAATACATTTTAATAGAAAGTTAGCAAAAATAGATAAGATATTGCTACTGTGATGGAAATTATTATGTTTGTGCTTTTCTATTTACCAATTTCTATGTTCTATGTTTGTGCTTTTCTATAAACCAATTTCTGTGTTCATGCAAGTGACTGATTGAACGAACCCTCACTATAAGTATCTGAAATTTGGCAGTACGCCCAGACCCTTGTTTTGATATCTCAGTTTCAACGTCTCAGCTTAGAGAAGAAGCCTTGTGAGGTATTGGTCTGTCACATGAATAAGGCAAACGTTAATGATTAATTAATCATGAATAAGCTAAATCATGCAAATATGACTTGTCTGCAGTATATATGAGAACTAACGGGACTGCCCCATTAGAGCTTCTGACAGATGTTCACTATGGTGCATTAAGTTTGTTGGAACCTCTCCAATAAACAATGATTCATTTAAGATTGACTGTGAGTGTCCCTGTGTAAGGATTTCCACAACACTACCATTGAAAATAAAATACCTGTCTATTTGTGGAAAAATCACCCTAATTAACTCTTTAGTCATATCCCAGATTACCTATTTGCTTATGGCCTTGCCTACACCTAGTGACCAGTTTTTTAAATTATATGAGCAAAAAATATTCCTTTTTTTTTTTAACGCCAAGCCAGACAAAATTAAATGGGCATATTTATATAATGAATATGAACTCAGAGGGCAGAAATTATTAAATATTAAAGCATTAGACCTCTCACTAAAGGCTTCAGTCATACAAAAGTTATACTTAAATCCAAACTGGTTCTCTAGCAGATTAGTAAGAATGTCTCACCCCATGTTCAAGAATGGCCTTTTTTACAACCTCTCACTTTCAGTTATTTGTATATGAAATAATCTCCAAAATGTCCCTATTTTTAAAACAAGACAGAGAAAGTTGGTTGCAATTTCAGTTTAATCTGCCAGAAAAGACAGAAGGAATAATACAACAAATATTGTAGTTAAACTCAAATATACTAATTGATAAAAAAAACATTATTTTGGGAAAAAATGTTTAAAAAATGTATAATCTTTGTAAATGATTTCATAAATAGGACTGGTGGAGTTATGTCACACATGCACCTAACAAAAATATATGGAAATGTCTGCTCTACCCAAAATTACAACCAACTAATTGCAGCATAACTGCAAAAATGTCGCCCTGCATTAAAGACCAAAATTGGTTAAAGACAATTGTGGTAAATAAAAAAGTACACCAGTTTCATTTAAGGACAAAAAAAATGACAGCTGTGCCATATAGATTTCAAAATAGTTGGGAAGAGATTTTCGATGTACCGATTCCATGACACATGGTTTATGAACTGATACGCAAAACGATGCCAGATTCAAAACTTAGAATTGTTCAATTTAAATTAATATACAAAATTCTTGCTACCAGTAGAAAGTTATATCAAATCAAATTTTATCAAATCAAATTTTATTTGTCACATACACGTGTTTAGCAGATGTTATTGCGGGTGTAGCGAAATGCTTACAGTATATGGGGGATACAACCATCCCAGCTCTGCAGATTATGCTGCGAAGAGACAGAATCATTAGATCATTCGTTTTTGGTAATGTCCATATGTAGATAGTTTTTGGTCGCAGGTCTAGGAATGACTAAAGAATTGCTATATTTACCTGGAGCTAACTCTGCAAATAGCACTGCTGGGTGATTTGAAAAGTCATAGTCAATCGATCAATAATATAATAATAATTTTAGCAAAAAATGTATCTTAAATTTACAATCTGTAGAAACTATGAGAATAGAAAGGTTTAGAACTTTTGTGAAACATCACAGCACAGTTGAAAATATATGGCAAATAGAAATAAAAAATGTATGGTGTTAAGAGATAGATGGGAGGGGTTGAGTGGAGCTGAAGGGTGGGACTAAAAACAACAAGATAACTAATGTAAAATATGCTATGTCTGTAAAATGTATACAGGTTCAGAACTTTTGTGAAACAGCACAGTTAAAAATATATTGCAAATAGAAATCAAACTGGATGGTCTTCAGAGATAGATGGGAGGGGGTTGAATATGGACTGTCGTTTCTCATTGCTTATTTGAGCTGTTCTTGCCATAATATGGATTTGGTATTTTACCAAATAGGGCTATCTTCTGTATACCAACTGATTGGCTCAAACGCATTAAGAAGGAAAGAAATTCCACAAATTAACTTTTAACAAGGCACACCAGTTAATTTAAATGCATTCCAGGTGACTACCTCATGAATCTGGTTGAGAGAATGCCAAGAGTGTGCAAAGCTGTCATCAAGGCAAAGGGTGGCTACTTTGAAGAATCTCAAATCTCAAATATATTTTGATTTGTTTAACACTTTTTTGGTTACTACATGATTCCATATGTGTTTTTAATAGTTTTGATGTCTTCACTATTATTCTACATTGTAGAAAATAGTAAAAAACTTGAATGAGTAGGTGTGTCCAAACTTTTGACTGGTACTGTATATATCTGCAATATTAAAGCTGATCTAACAGATAGAAAGAGAGAAAAGGGGATTATAGAGAAAGAGAGAGATAGAGAACTGAGAGAACGAGGTAGAGAGAGGACAGAGAGAACGAGGGAGAACGAGGTAGAGAGAGGTAGAGAGTGGTGAGTTCTGGTACACTCCAGCTCTCCCTGTGACACAGAGGCCTGTCCTTAGTGATTGTTCAGCCACACAAAGAGAGTGACAGGGCTGCCTAGCGCTGGGGCTGGGGTTGGGCCTGCTGCTGTATAGGCTGGTCATGGGAGGGTTGAAAAGGCACAGTGACTGAATGGAACAGTTATAATGTTAGAATAGACTGTTAGAATGTTCTGTAAGATGGCTCACAGGATGGGTAGTAAAAGGGGAAGTAGGGCAAAACACATGCACCCAGGCAGACACACACAGAGACTGAGACCAAAGCAAGGAGAGGATTTCAGCTCCATCACACTCTCAGAGAGTCCAAGTTTTATCTAAACGTTCCTCTCGGCTGGCATTGCGGGCTCTAACATAACAAACAGAGTAGTACCCAGGGGTACCAACCGGGCGCAGCCATAAACCACACACACAACCGGGCACAGCCCCGGTGTTCTGCCACAAACTGCTCAGGACACAGATACTGATCCCTTTCTGTCTGTCTGATGATGTCACAACCCATGTCCAGGGGACTTCCTGTCTGACAGTTAGAGGGGGTTTCCTTCAGGAGTTAACTAGAGGGAGGGTCTGGCTTTCTCACGGTGCTGATTTTACATTTTAGTCATTTAGCAGACGCTCTTATCCAGAGCGACTTACAGGAGCATTTAGGGTTAAGTGCCTTGCTCAAGAGCACATCGACAGATTTTTCACCTAGTCGGCTCGGGGATTAGAACCAGCGACCTTTCGGTTACTGGCACAACGCTCTTAACCACTAAGCTACCTGCCGCCCCAGGTGATGATCATCATACACACACACACAATCGGGCAGGGCCACAGTGTTCTGCCACAAAAACAGTCAGGACACACACACAGACATACAGTGGTAATCAAATCAGTAATGCTGTGATCTGGTCTCTCTCCAGCCTGTCAGCTTGTCAGTAATCTATGGCTTATAGAGCTTACACATCACTACCTCAGTCACATCAGAATCAGCACTAAGTACTCAACCAGTACTTATTGTAAGTGAGTTGTGTCAAGCCAATGCGTTTACACAGCTTTGAGCTGACACACACAAACAACCTTTAGAGCTGACACCTAGGGTTACAGTTAAGTTTGATGTGGTGCTTTTGGTAAACACTCTCTGCAGGTCTACAGTTATAAGGATACAGCTGTGGTTTACAAATATAAAATAAAAATATTGTATTTGTCATATGCTCCGAATACAACGGGTATAGACTTACCCGTGAAATGCTTGCTAAAGACCCCATCCCCAACGATGCAGAGTTAAACAATAATATTTGTTTTTAAATAGTAACACAAGAAGAATAAAATACATATATATATACAGGGAGTATGCAGAGGTATGAGGTATTTGAGGTAGATATGTACATGAAGGCAGGGTAAAGTGATAGATAAGAATAAGAATAAAGAACACAGTAGCTGCAGCATATGATGAGTGTGAAAGTGTGTTTGTATGTGTGTGTGTGTGTGTGTGTGTGTGTGTTATGTGTGTGTTATGTGTGTGTACGTAGTGTCTGTGAATGTGTGTGTGTGAGTGTGCATATAGTGTGTATATACTGTGTATATACTGTATAGTATTGTGAGTGTGCAGAGTCAGTGCAGATAGTCTGGGTAACCATTAATGAACTATTTAGCAATCTTATGGCTATTTAGAAATCTTATGGCTTGGGGTGTAGAAGCTGTTTCGGCGCCTGTTGGTCAGAGAGCCAATGCTCCGGTACCGTTTGCCGGAGGGTAGCAGAGTGAACAGTCTATGGCTTGGGTGCAGTCCTTGGCTATTTTTCAGGCCTTCCTTTGACACCGCCTGATATAGAGGTCATGGATGGCAGAGAGCTTGGCCCCAGTGATGTACTGAGCTGTCCGCACTACCCTCTGTAGAGATTTGCGGTCGATGGTGGTGCATTTACCATATCAAGTGGTGATGCAGCCAGTCAAGATACTATCGATGGTGCAGCTGTAGAACATTTTGAGGATCCGAGGGCCCATGCCAAATATTTTCAACCTCCTGAGGGGGAAGAGGCGCTTTTGTGCCCTCTTCACGACTGTGCGGGTGTGTGTGGACCAAATCCTTAGTGAAATGGATCCCAAGGAACTTGAAGCTTTCGACCCGCTCCACTACAGCCCCGTCGATATGGATGGGGGCGTGCTCTCCCCTCTTTCTACTGTAGTCCACGATCAGATCTTTGGTCTTACTGACATTGAGGGAGAGGTTGTTGTCATGGCACCACACTGCCAAGTCTCTGACCTCCTCCCTGTAGGCTGTCTCATCGCCGTCGGTGATCAGACCTACCACCGTCGTGTTCAGCAAACTTGATGATGGTGTTGAAGTCATAGGTGACCACGCAGTTGTGGCTGAACAGGGAGTACAGGAGGGGACTAAGCACACACTCCTGAGGGGCCACCGTGTTGAGGGTCAGCGTGGCGGAGGTGTTGTTTCCTACCCTCACCACCTGGGGACGTCCTGTCAGGAAGTCCAGGATCCAATTGCAGAGTGAGGTGTTCAGTTCCAGGCTCCCTAGCTTGGTGATGAGCTTGGAGGGGACTATTGTGTTGAACACTGAGCTGTAGTCTATGAACAGCATTCTCACATAGTTATTTCCCCTCTTGTCCAGGTGGGAGAGGGCAGTGTGAAGTGCAATTGAGATTGTGTCCTCTGTGGATCTGTTGGGGCGGTATACGAATTGGAGTAGATCCAGGGTGTCTGGGATGATGGTTGATGTGTGTCATGACCAGCCTTTCAAAGCACTTCATTACAGATGTGAGTGCTACAGGGCAATAGTCATTTAGGCAGGTTACCTTGGAGTTCTTGGGAACAGGGACAATGGTGGTCAGCTTGAAACATGTTGGGATTACAGACTGGGACATGGAGAGATTGAAAATGTCTGTGAAGACACTTGCCAGCTGGTCTGCGCATGCTTTGAGAACTCGCCCTGGTATTCCGTCTGGCCCGGCGGCCTTGCGAGTGTTAACCTGTTTAAAAGTTTTACTCACATTGGCCACGGAGAAAAGCTTTAGTATAATCCAATAGTGTCCAAATGTGAAGCCTAGCACTTACAGGTAGCATTTCTCAGAGTGCATACAAACACTAAGGTCTGTGGTCCTATGGAGCTGCTCTGCTGTTTTTTCCCTTGGGAAACCAGGTGTGTGCACTCTGTGCAACCAGTGATCGATGTGTGTATGGCCTCACCAGGGCATGAGTCTGCCTATCCTGGTCCACTTGCTCTTGGTGATGAAGAAGCCGACAACAGGGTCGGTCATGGCTCCCCACGCCTTCCCTATGAACAAAACCATGGAGGCCTGGAACGGGTTGATCTGAGGAGGAGATAACAGAGGGATGGAGTTAGAAGACACAGAGAGAAGGAAAATAGGGAAAGAGGGAAAAATAGGGAGAGAGAGGGAAAGAGAGAGAGAGCGAGAGAGCGAGAGAGCGAGAGCGAGAGCGAGAGAGAGAGAGAGAGAGAGAGAGAGAGAGAGAGAGAGAGAGAGAGAGAGAGAGAGAGAGAGAGAGAGAGAGCGAGAGAAAATAGGAAGAGAAAAAGAGAGGGACACACACACACACAGATGTGTTACCTGGGCGACATCCAGCAGGTAGATTTGGAGGAAGAATGCCGTAGCACTGCCGGCCACCTGATTGGGTGCTCCTCCGATGGCGAAACACAGTTTACTGCAGAAAGACAGCCTCTGGTCCAGCACAGTCTATGGATTGGCAGAAAAATATCTGAGAGAGTTACGAGTCAGTTAGGCCTATCACTCACAGATTTCATGAAGTGCATAATCTGTGAAATAGGCAAAGAAATTATATGCAAAGCCTACGAGATACAGTTGACTACTGTGCCTTTCTTTACCGTGTAAAGACAAGAATTCTGTTTGTTAGCCATGGCTACGTAGCCTAAATATTAGCCTCAGATAAGATACAAGCAGGAAACAAATCTGAAGGTGGAAGCTATCTTTGTGGTTAAGGAATACAGATTTTCTAGCAGAAGAACGAGTCTGTGACAGCAGGATGCTGGATTTATGATGTCCCAAAAAAATCAGAACCACAGAATGTCCACTGCGCCATTTAGCTGACAGTCGATACAGAAGTATGTCCTCATGTCATAGACCATGACTAACTTCCTTGTCCAAATAGTATATGAAATAGATGTCCAAATATGACTTGCAACATTGTTTAGTGAAGCACTATCCATGAGATAGAAGGGTAATCCTTTATTTGGATAGTCCCAAGTAGATGGTTTATAGATGTTCAGTAGATGTTTATTAACTGTCAACAACATTTCAACTAACTATCGACTAACCCTTATCCCAACCCTAAACTTAACCCTAACCCTAGCCCTTATCCTAACCTTAACCCTTACCCTACCCTTATTCTAAACCTAACCCTAACCCTAACCCTAACCTTAGCAAGCAGTTGCTTATCAACATATCGTTTGTTGATAGTATGACCATCTGTAGATCATCTACTTGGGACTATCCAAGTAACAGTTATTGGTGGAGATGGTGAGTTTTTGGGGGTCTTTAACTCAGTACCTTCCTCTCTCTCAACAGGACTGGTGCTGGAGTTAGTGGAAGACATCTGGTTTCTCATTTGAGACCTCTCTAGGCCTACTCCCCCCCCACCACTCTTCTCCATCTCCATCCCCCTCTCCCCCAACCATTTATCTCACCTAATTTATCTCCCCTCCCCTCTGACAGCATTTAATGTTCCCCTGTAGTGTAGGTCCCAGTTGATGTGAGGGATACCGGATCAGACAGAACGCCACTCCCTGCTGTTTAGACTGTGGTGATGTGAGGAGACACTGGGGCACACATCACAGCCTGTTCCCCTTACAGACACATCCACAGGAGACCACAGAGACAGACAGCCAGGGTGCCAGGAGAGGTTTTCCGCCGCTATAGCGGTATACCGACCCCTGCTAAAAACGTGTGTGTGCACGTGTGTGTACAAGGAGGAGATGATCAGAGATGCTTCCATCCTCACACATGAAATAGCAGACAAACCGCCAGGCACCTGGAAAGCCCAATATTTACGACTGTTATGAACATCTCAGAGACAGACACCAAAACACACACGGCACGGACCAAAATACAGCAGCTTCTGATTAGATGTCTTACCTCCTCTCTCTCTCTCTCTCTCTCTCTCTCTCTCTCCCTCTCACTCTCACTCTCACTCTCACTCTCACTCTCACTCTCACTCTCACTCTCACTCTCACTCTCTCGCTCTCTCTCTCTCTCTCTCTCTCTCTCTCTTGTACTTTTTTCTCTTTCTTCATCTCTCTCCACTCTCTCTCTCTAACCTTTGTTGTTTCCATACAGTACAGTCATGGCCGGGTTACCCCGCTGCCCGCAGCTATAGGCCTTTCAGGCTTCATGAAAGAAAGATATCACCAAAACAACCACAGACCAACCACAGAGTCCAAAGCCCTTCAACACACTGTCATTATCTGGCTGACTTTATTTTCTCTTCTTCTTTCTTCTCCTCATGAAAACATTTATGGTTTCTAGAATGACAATTACCAGGAGGGAGCTGTGTAATTATTTAAACATAGCAAGACAAGCCGGTTAGGAGTAAGGAAAGAGTAGCATGTGGATTAACTTCAAAACTCTCAGTCTCTACTTAGTCTCTACTCCCTCTGCTCATCCTCACTGTAGTTAGCTCTAAATGGGAAGATAAGACAAGTCTTTGGTTTCTACGGTTAACTGATGAAGGGTCTTAATACTCTGTCTATCCACATGGTATGTGCCAGATCAGTTACGTCTTGGTTCAACATCAAGTGTACCTATGACTTTTACCCTCATCTGCAATACAGCTGTGTAGTTGGACTTGCTGTCACTGTTTGTATCCCCACAACAAACTCCACACTGAGGGGGTAAACCCAGAAAACAGAGCTACACTCTTTGAAAAAAAGGGTTCCAAAAGGGTTCTGCAGCTGTCCCTATAGGATAACCCTTTTTGGTTCCAAGTAGAACCCTTTTTAGTTCCAGGTAAAACTATTTGGGGTTCCATGTAGAACCCTCTGTGGAAAGGGTTCTACCTGGAACCAAAAGGGTTCTACCTGGAACCAAATGGGGTTCTTCAAAGGGTTATCCTATGGGGACAGCCAAAGAATCCTTTTTGGTTCTAGCTAGCACCTTTTTTTCTAAGAGTGTACTGTAGAGAGGCAATATCGTTTTAGGCTCTCTCTTTGTACAAGGAGGTTAAATAGTCCACAGGTCATCAAACAAGGATTTATCTTGCCTAGCTCTACCTATACACACATAGACACAGAGAGAGAGAGTCTGATTAGAGTCTGTCTACAGTCTTATTTACTGAAGACGTAAACAGGATTTCCTTCCGCTGTCTGGACACACGTTATCTAGCTTCCTATAACTGCACACACACACACACACACACACACACACACACACACACACACACACACACACACACACACACACACACACACACACACACACACACACACACATACATACACACACACACACACACACACACACAGCAGACACACAGAAAAGCACTTCAGAGAGAACAGACCGTCAGCAAACTGTGGCCCTGTAAGTAAATGACTTTGTTAATGATGAGAAAGTGGGGAAAAAGCGACTCTGGCAACGTGCCTTTATGTTTTAAAGAGGATCTTAGTTATTAGCTGACTGTGACGCACACAGAGGATGAGTAGGGAATAGTGAATAAGTTTGATTGCTTTATATTTTTCTGTCAGCATTCACAGAAGATTGAGTGTGTGTACTGTATGCGTGCGATAGATAAAGCTGGTTGTATAAGAAATAAAGCTGGTTTAGAGCTTTACATAAAGGTTTAGAGGCAGTAGAATTTCCTCATACATTTTGACATTAGACTTAAAAGGCAGATTTTATGGTTTGTGTGTGTGTGTGTGTGTGTGTGGGGGGGGGTATGTGCGTACCTATGTGTGTGTGTGTGTGTGTGTGTGTGTGTGTGTGTGTGTGTGTGTGTGTGTGTGTGTGTGTGTGTGTGTGTGTGTGTGTGTGTGTGTGTGTGTGTGTGTGTGTGCTAAGATGGAACCAGAGTGTGAAGTTCTGGCCTCTGTGATGCCAAGGGATGGGATACAGAGTTGGCATACAGAATGTAACTCACAAATATTACAACATGTAAGATACTTATTCCAAAAGCACTTGAACACAGTAATAGAGAAGTCAAACAAGCCCCTCTCCTCTCCTGCCTGGAGCTGTAGCTGTGGTCTGGTGATTGACCACCAGGGGGCCTGGCTGAAGCTGAGGGACTCACTGTGACAGGTGACCCATTAGGGCAGGGATCATCAACTAGGTGGGCCGATCTTTTCTTGAGCAGATGACATAATTACAAATAATTTGTAGACTGCAAATTGAACACAAGAAGCCCAAACAGATATCATATTTGAATAAAACATAATCATTTAAAACCTTGCTTACATTTGTATACGATCGGCCCACCTAGTTGATGGTCCTCTGTAGCTCAATTGGTAGAGCATGGCGCTTGTAACGCCAGGGTAGTGGGTTCGATCCCCGGGACCACCCATACGTAAAAATGTATGCGCACATGACTGTAAGTCGCTTTGGATAAAAGCGTCTGCTAAATGGCATATTATTATTATTATCATTTGTCTCTCTATTATGTGTGGGAATACTTGGGAACAGATTTCCAACAATTTCCAGGTGTTTTTACAGTCTTTTATGTCCAAACTATTAAAAGAAACACCCGCGTGCCGCCAGTTGGAGAATCCTGCATTAGGGGCATTAGTCTCCTCTGTTTCAGCCTCTGCTTTAGCTGCTTTAGCATGTATAATTCACCCAGGTCACACACAAATCATTCGTAAGGGCCATGCTGTACACACACAGCTCCTCCACACTCACATGTACACACACACACACACACACACACACACACACACACACACACACACAGCTCAAGGTCACACTGCATCCATTCTTTCAGAAAAACAATGTGAATATTGCAGCACTTCTCTTCAATGCCTATTCACCAAAATAGGACAGCATAAACACATTGCTGAGTTATAAGAACAGCCAGATGATATTGAATTCCCAGCAGTGAATAAGCCAGTATGAATCTATACATAGAAGACAATGTAGAGTACTTATTTGTGTCTGTATCGATGCACTGGAGGTATAATGAAACACAATAGGCTACATCTGCAATATAATGAACTAGTGGTATAGTAAAATAAAGGTTTGGCTCCTCGTCTGTCATTGCCTTGTGCCCCTGGGCATGTGTGCTGGAATACCATCAATAAGTAAGCATTCCATTTACTCACCCGAGTACACGGCTTCACATATTTTCACTGGCACACACACACACCGCATTCTTTCACAGGAATGTCTCCTTCTGACATTCAGGCAGTCTTACTGGTACCTAAAGGCACTCAGGGGGAGCTTACACCAATGTCATCCATCGAACAGAGAAAGAGAGAAACGTCCTCTATGTCTGGTCCTTAGCTGTAAGTAGTATTATCACAATCCAACTGATTTTCTATTGAATTAACTAACTCCCTGCCCTCAATCTCTCAGATATCCAGACGTGGCATAACAGCATGACAGAAACCCAAACCAAAGGAACATGAATGTCACTGAGATGTCAGACCAGGGGTAAACTAACCAACTGATTCACAAAATAAAAGCAGTGTTTCCTTACCTGGTTGGGGGGCTTGGTGAAGGCTGGCTCTCGGGGCTTGATGAGTTTGCCTGCTAGGGTATGTGGTACCCTCTCTCCCTTCGCCATGGCTGGCTCCAAGTATCACTCAGAGTGCCTGAGTGTTTGTGCGTGAATGTGAGTGTATGTGTGTGTCTCTGAGTCTGAAAGTGTGTGCGACTCTAGGTGATGGCCGGGGACGAGCTGGTGTTCCTGTGTGTGTCGGGAGGACGTGAGGCTGCTCAGTTCTGCTGCCACTCACATGCTGCTCTGTGTTCAGTGCTCAGGGGCTCGGAACTGCGCCAGAGAGGGAAGGGCACAGTTAGGCAGGCGGTCCCACACATAAACACACACATAATCATCCCCTTCACACTGGTTTCTGTCAGAGCTCTCCTGTGTTTTCCACCTTGATCTCTATTTCACATGTATTTATGTCAGCCAGCAACGCTGCATCACATGCAGACATCTAATTAAGAGATGTGATGTCTCTATGTATCATTATTCAAATAGGATAAAGAAAAAGTGATACCCTAGATTGGTAGGCAATTACATGGAAATATGCTTGCAACTATTCTGTGTTTTTGTTTATGAGTGAGATCAGAATCACCTTTATTCGCCAAATACATTTGCATGCACCAGGAATTTGACCTGGTGAAATGGTGCTGCCACAATGAACAGAATAAACTGAATCTAACTAACACATCTAACAAACAATAATTTCTTACTCTATCATAGCAGTTTTGTCATAAATGAACACATCCCTTCCGACCTCAAATCTCTATCATTGACTTAATCACATCCCATGTAAACAATAAGCAAGAACACAATAATAGAACGAGAAGTCAGTATTGGCTTTACCTGAGTGATGCTGAGAGAAGAGAAGAGGAGAGAAGAGTAGAGGTGCTCAGTGGATCGCATGCTCAGAGAGATACAGGGAGAGAGTCGCAGGCAGGCAGATTCCAGCGATAGAGCAGAAGGAGACTGCGGTGTTTGACAGACAGTGCTGTTCCACTTCACTCACCGCGCCTCACAGCGGGACATGCGCCTCCAGTGGTCAACAGTGGTAGAACAATCACTGGAGGTAATAATAGCATTGACATTGCAGTCATTACATGCTTATAATAACATAGGTAGGCATATATAATGAAGCAGATGTGGTTTGGACATATTTCTAATTATCAGCCACCTTGAAAAATTATGCTCTTAAGATGATCAATAAACATTATTTGACCTTGAGTTTTGAGGCAGTGAAACTTCAGCCTACAGGTATGTTTAAAACAAGTTCTAATTTCAGTCTAAAGATTTGAGCAAAAATCAGTCTGCAGACGTCACAATTATGAGATCTGAGAAAAAACTATGGTATCATCAAAGACGTTTTCTCATTCTCTCTCTCTTTCTCCCTCTCTCTCTGATAAGAGAGCAGCGCAGCCACTCAAACAGACACACTCACACACACACACACACACACAAACTTTCCCCCACAGTGAATGTTAATATATTAAATATTCTTCCTCTTTGCCTCCGTGCTATGTGATGCTGGCACCTCACCAAACTCGAATGACACCAAACCCGAGTGAAAGTTCAGTGAAAGTTGGCTGGATGGGTTTCCCATGCAGGCCAGAAGCAGGTGGTGTTAGGCTATAGGAATGCATAATATGCAGCCCGGTTGGATGTTTTAATGCGATGATCGATATGCCTATGTGGCTGAGATGTAGGTTTAAATTGCATTATAATCTGATTCACATGGGACAGGGACACACACACACACACACACACACAAACACACACACACACACACCAGAGACCGTGACACACACACACTTTATACAGGTTATAGGTTATAGGCCTACGTCTGGGGACGTTTAATTATAAACTATGATGATTGTCACCAAATAGGATTGACAGGTGCATAGTTAGAACAATCCCATACCAACCAGTTTTAAAATGTTGTGTTCAAATATATCCCACGCTTTTTAGATTGTTAAAGGGTTAATCTCACTCACGAGTGTTTGTTCCAGCGATTCATTCAGAGCACAACCTGTCCCACAGAAGACCTGTCTTTTCTCTTCTCCTCTCTTCTGTTCGCAGCATCCCTTTTTTCACAACAAGGCGCCAAGCCGCTAACCGCGGAGCAGTCAACTGAAGCAGAGAACCCAGCCAAACCCTCAAGATTTCCTCACACATTCCAAACATTCAGTTCGCTCTTGCCAGCATCATTACTGCATTTAAAAAAATATCACCATCGGGAAATCAAGCATATGAACGCATTACTCCGTATATGTTTCAGATCATGCTAAATAATGCGTGAAGAGGAATGCGCAAATGACATTTCTGAAGCGGCTCAGGTAAAAAGGCCTTTTGGAAAATAAATGTGGGACTTAAAGTCAGGTAAAATGTGTCCCCTTTTACTGCAGGACCCCACTGCATAATAAACAAATCCCCATCAAAATCCATATTTTTAAACTACTTTTGTTTCAAAGGCTGCATCTCAATCCACCTCATCCATTCCACATCTGCAGTGGAAGGTGGCAGAGCTACAGGGGTGTTTGTCAGACCAGGAGACATCCCGAAAATCGGTCTTCTCATGAAAACCTCTGTAGTGTCCAAGCCGTTTGGGCGCCACAAGCGTCACAGGACTTGTCTGAAGTTGGTACCACCAATGTGCCAACTTCTGTCTGTAGCTTCCTAATGGTTTGGGCTACACACTAATAGGCCTATGACCCATCTATGGAAAGATGAGACTCAAAAAACAGATAGTGTTCTCCATTTTGCTCTATGACCCCACAATTGGGACTCATCTGAAGGTAAACTGGTACTGGGACAAATAAATTATGTAAGTGCATAGAGCATTTTCACCTGAAAGGTAGATCTAGGGGATAATTCCACTGTATTTACAAATATATATATATACACAGAGTGTACAAAACATTAGGAATACCTTCCTAATATTGAGTTGTACCCCCTTTTACCCTCAGAACAGCCTCAATGCGTTGGGGCATGGACTCTACAAGGTGTGGAAAGCGTTCCACAGGGATGCTGGCCCATGTTGACTCCATGTCACGCCCTGGCTCTGGGGACTCTTAATTGTTGAGCCAGGGTGTGGATTTTCTATGTTTAGTTTTTATTGGTTTTTGTTCTAGATCGTTTAGTTTCTATGTTGGCCAGGGTGGTTCCCAATCAGAGACAGCTGTAGCTCGTTGTCTCTGATTGGGGTCCATACTTAGGCAGCCTTTTGGCATGTTAGGTTGTGGGATCTTGTTCCGTTAAGGTTTTGTGTTAACCTAGGACTTCACGTTTCGTTTGTTGTTTTGTTCGTGTTAAGTACTGAATAAAGTATGTACGTTTATCACGCTGCGCCTTGGTCCGTGTCTTCAGTCGACGAACGTGACAGAAGATCCCACCACCAGAGGACCAAGCAGCGTGCCCAGGAGGAGAAGAGGGCGATGGCTCAGGTGGGCGAATGGTGGTCATGGGAGGAGATATTCGCGGGCAGAGAGGGCCATGGGCAAAGGTGTATGCCCAGGCAGGAGAGGAGACTGTGGAGGCGCGCTACAGAGAGGAGCAGCTGCAACACAGAGGGTACCAGCCAAGGAGGAAGCCCGAGAGACAGCCCCAATATTTTTTTTTGGGGGGGCTAAAAGGGTGGTTGGCGGAGCCACGTACTGTGCCGCGAGTGTTCGGCACATCCTGTACGTCCTGTGCACACCCACGTGTTGTGCTAAGGTGGGCAGCACGGACGAGTGTGCGCTCAACGTCGTGGCCCCTTTTCATTGGTTTTGGGTCATGCAGGGGCCAAAGGGCAGTTGCGGTTTTAAAAAAAGGGGGAAAAAGATGGAAAAAAAACCCCAAAAAAATTTTTTTTTTTCCCCCCCAAAACCCCCAAAAATTCCCGGGACCAAAAAAAAAATTTTGTTAAAATTTTTTTGGGAAAAATTAAAAAAATTATTTTTAAAAAAAAATTTTTTTAAAAAAAAAAAAAAAAAATTTTTTTTTTCCCCCAAAAACCCCCCCTTTTTTTTCCCCGGGGGGGTTCCGGGGAAAAAGGGGGAAAAAAAAACCCCCCTTTTTTTTTTTTTAAAAAAAAAATTTTTTAAAAATTTTTTTAAAAAAAAAGGGGGGGGCCTTCGGGGAAATTTTAACCTTTTCCCCTTTTTTAAAAGGGGGGGGGGGGGGAAAAAAAAAAGGGGGGGGGGTTTTTTTCCCTTTTTGGGGGTTAAAAAAATTAAAAATTTTTTTTTGGGGGGGGGCCAACCAAAAACCCCCCCCCCAAAAAAAAGGGGGGGGGGGGGGGCCCCGGGGGGGAAAGGGGGGGGTTTTTTTTTAAAAACCCAAAATTTTTGGGGGGGGGGTTTTTTTTTGGGGGGAAAAAAAAAAAAAAGGGGGGGGAAAAAAAACCCGGGGCCCCAAATTTTTTTGGGGGAAAAAAGGGCCCCCCCCCCCAAAAAACCCCCCCCCCCTTTTTTCCCCCCCTTTTTTGGAAAGGGGGCCCCCCGGGGGGGGGAAAAGGGGGCCCCCGGCCGGGTTTTTCCCCGTTTTTTCCCCCTTTGGGGCCCCAAAAAACCCACCCCCCGGGGGGGAAAAAAAAGGGTTTTTTTGGGGGGCCCCCTTTTGGGGGGTTTTTTTTTTTTTGGGGTTTTTTTTTTTTTTAATTGGGTTTTGTTTTTTTTCCCCGGCCTTTTTTAAAAAAAACCCCCCCCCGGGGGGGGGTTTGGGGCCCTTTTGGGGGGGGTTTTTTCCCAAAAAAATTTTTTTTGGGGGGGGGGGGGTTCGGGGCCCCCCGTTTTTGGGTTTTTAAAAATTTTTTTTCCTTTTGGGTTTTTTTTCCCCCCCCCTTTTTTGGGGGGAAAAAAAAAAAATTTTTCCCCTTAAAAAGGGGGTTTTTTTTTGGGGCCCCAAAAAAAGGGCCAAAACCCCCCCTTTTTCCCCCCCAAAAAACCCCAAGGGCCAAAAAAAAATTTTTTTCCCGGGGTTTTTTACCCTTTCCCCCTTTTTTTTAAAAAGCGGGGGGTTTCCCTTAAAAATTTTTTTTTCCCCCTTTTTTCCCCAAACCCCCTAAAAAAATTTTAAAATTTTTTCCCAAAAATTTTTTA